ACGACTAACCCCTTTCGGTCGCCGGGGGCTGGCCCGAAAACCGCGGCTATACGGAGACGACGCAGGCAGCCCGGACGGACCTTAGTTACCCAGCCCCGGTCTCAAATTTCAAATAAGTCCCCCGCGGAAACCGGACTACACAGTGCCCTGCGAGCCGTAGTCTCGGAACCGCTGGCCGAAGACATTTATGTTTTTTTTGTGTAGGTAGTTCGACATGGTGATGGGACGGACCGCAATAAGTCACGTAACGCGAAGGTCGAGTGCCGAAATATGTGGTGGGTCGTATCTCTAATTGTGTAGCGTGAGCATTATGAAGCGTTTGTCTGATGTACGGAACATTGTGGTTATGAAGGGATAACGGTTAAATGACATTTAAGGCCAATGACTCGATAACGACTTTGCGCGCGCCCTAGCACCACCGGGGGAAGTTAGGAAAAAGGGGAGGGACCGGAGATGGTCAACTCTGGTAAATTACGAGGTATAAGTGGACGAATGACATGGTTGTAAGGGGATGGATAAATGGACGAATGATTGATACATATATCTGGTGGGAGATGACCCTCAAGCTAGGAAGGGCGCTGTTGTTTGAGAGTGGGACTTTTTGTTAAATAGAGTTGATTTTCTATACCAATATGATCGAGGGTAATTGATTAACATTTATCATTATCTCCCATTCCCTAACCCTGGCCTATGTGTTTCCGATGATTGATCGCCCCGGAAAGATAGACTCATGAGTCGGAACGGGTTCGCGAGGGGCTGGATACAGTGAAGGGCTTCTAGGAGCGCACCGACGGAGCTTTCTAGTCTCATCTCACTATCGAAAGACACTGCCCGGTTAGCCCCGCAACGCCGCGAAACCCCGCTACATAAGCAATAGTCGGCGGAACGGGGGGAGGGCACCGGGGCACCGTGCCCCCCTTTGATTTTGGCATTTTAACATTAGCCCTATGGGCTTTGCATGGAAAGAATGGGACCAAAAGTCGGCAGTGCCCCCCCCCCTTAAATTGAAGGTGTTCCGCCGCTACTGATATAAGCCATCGATGTCTTATCCATGCTTTCCTCCCTCGCTTCTTGACGGTGCCAACTACTTGGTGTGACACTTGCAACGTTTGTAGGTGTTGTTTTCAACTGTTGCGCTCATCATTGTTGTCTTCTAACTGTTATCACGAAGAGGTGTCGTATAAATGCTCGATTTTCTTTTCAAAATCGCCTTTACTCCTTTCAGCTATTAGCGATGGTAAACATATGGGTACTTCTTTAGAAAGTTTACATTAAATTTATTATTTTCAATTTTCATCATTCATAATCTTTTGGAAGCTGAGCTATTAATCAAAACTCATAACCCCATGAACTCATTGCTAATGTCAGCAGTCCGTTTCTACCCTTTTCTTCCTTGCAGGCGAACAGCACACCCATTCGCAAGCTTCTCTCCAGTCAGTTGTTCTACAGATCGCTACAGGCTACTATCTGCGCTGCAGTAAGCATACAATGCGGAGCAGCGGTGTGACGAACGGTGCGTGCAGCATTATTCCAAAACTGCGACAGAGATTTCGATTTCCCACAGGTGTGAGTCGAGACTCGAACATCGGATGATGCATCATTCCGCGGATAATCCATATCCTTGGCAGATATTAAACTGGGGCGTAATTGGGAAAGGCCGTGAGAACTAAAGGAAGGACAAGCTGGATATCATACCCAGGCACGAGTCCTGTGAACTCACGTGCAATTTTGTATGTTTGAGATCATCATGTAGGTGTCGTGGTTCAGTATTTAACCCTCGCCGGACCTATTGGTTTTCTACATACGCGCCGGCCGAGGGGGGGGGGGCGGGTACGACCCTCCTCGCCGTTTCGCCCCTGGTGGAGCTAGCGCGTCGCAGAAAAAACGAGCGTGTGCACCGTTCGAGACGCAGAGATTGGTACCCGATTTTAAGGTCCTAGGTCAACCGGTGACATCTGAGGTCAGGTCAAGTGCTCCAAGGTACGGTTCAGTTTTTGTTGAATAACTTCGCCAAAAACGGCCGCAGAGCCGCGATTTTGGCAGCATCGTGTTCGCCTTGCTCAGGCGCGTCGAATGATATACTTTTTGTTTGGGTCAGGTCAACTTGGGGTGTTGACCTGAGGTCAAGGTCAGGTCAGCACCCCCAGGTCACGAAGTTGGTCAGAAGAGGTCATGTTGCATATCATTCGATTCGGCAGGTCTTCCTGAGTCCATTGGTGGCTTCCGCGACTCGCTAGCTCAATTTGATCAAGAGTTATTGACGACAAACTAATTTGACCCTGATGACGTCATAAATGACGTCACGCAAGGTCAACATTGCAAAAGTGACGCATCTAACCTTGCAAGGAGTGCATCAAATCACGATTCTGTGTGCTTGAGATAGTTGGAGATCGTTCCCGGCGCCAGGATAGCAGTTTTCATTTTTCCCCATTGACTTATAATGGTGAGGTCACGAAAATGACCTGATCTCATATGACCTTTAGGAAAAATCCGAGATATGCAAATTGTGAGACTCATAATGGATACTAGATCCTGCAAGTTTCATTTCCCTGTGACATCTCCTCTGGCAGTGAGGGCGTTGCGAAGTTGCGACATCTGAAGACCGTGCAGAGGTTCACTTATGACATCATAGGTCAGTGACCTGACCTGACCCAAAAATGCGGTTGGTGTCAAAAGATCCGGCTTGAATCAAAGGTCAGGTATGCCAAGTTTCAGCTCTCTATCGCCAGCGTATTCGGAGCTATCGCGAAAAACCCTATGGGGGGGGGGGGGCGGTACCCGCCCCCCTCTCGGCCGGCGAGGGTTAAGCGATGGCTCGCAAATGCAGCACTCCCTAGGATTATTTATTGTTTTTTTTCCACTTGTCCATCTCAAGCTTGAAAGCTTATGGACCGCTTATTTTACTATCGCTTCCAGTGGCTATGAAGTAGGTAACTCCACTCGAATATGTTATCTTTAAAGGCAAACAAATGTTTTATCCTCATTTTTGTCCACTTTTTTTCCTCGCCTGTTCATATGAACGCCAACGATTGGTCATTGCTCAGCCAGACGGCCGCCACAAGCAGTCTACATTCCACATATATATATACCTACATGACTACAGTCAATACAGTTTTCATATAATCGTATGATCGGTCAGGTTCGTATTTGTTATGTCGAAAGTCAAAAAGGCGAGACGTCACAAAATGCAAAACTTTTAACATTATGTTAGGGAAAGCTCTGATACCTATAGCTATAAGAAAGTGAGAACATCCCAATAACACACGTAACTGACGTTGTTTTAAGGCCTAACACGTCACGTGTTTGTTCCTTATAGTTTGCATGTGACGGAATTTCGTTGGCAATGAAGACTATTGTGGTCAAATATTTGCCCATGCAACGATACCTGTTTGTGTTTCTTTGATTGGACATCCTAAACAATTTTGATTTTACTTGTTTTATCTTTATCTTTTTCTTTGAATCTTGACAGAGAATGAAAAACTCGAATTATGTCTCACGTATATTTGTACATCTCTAAATACCTAAGCGTCATTTACATGACCACAAAATATTCGTGTTCCACTCCCATGTCCTTCAACACTGATCAAAGACCACCGTAGCCTCTGCCGACGGCACTGCGGTACACCACACCCGACCCTCGGTAACCGGCACCGAGAGCACCGCCCAAACCCAGTCCGGAGCCACCACCAAAGGCCGCACCGCCTCCAACTCCGTAGTCAGAACCGCCAGAAGCGCCCAGAGCAAGTGAGCCCAGCCCTGCGGCGGACCGCCCATAGCCGAGGGGCGTGGTCTGCGGATGGTGCGCCACGCCCTCGTAGGTCACCCTGGCGTTGTAGCCCGAGTTGCCGTCCACCCAGTAGGTGACGATCTGCCTCCGGCCGTCGGGAAGCAGCGTCGAGTACGAGCCCTCGGTGCGGTCACCGAGACGGTTCTCCTGTGAGTCGATGTCCACGCCCGAGTAGGCGTCCTTCACGGAGTAGCCGGTGTTGTAGTCTGGGACTGCGTAGTAGTCCAGGGAGTTTCCTGGCCCGTAGGCTCCTCCGAGACCGTATCCGAGGGAGCCCTGGAGAGCTCCGACCTGACCTCCAAGACGTCCTCCTGCGAGCGGGCGGCTGTATCCGCCGGCCGAGACGACAGCCAACAGCGCAGACAGCACGAACAGCTGAAAGGAGAAAAGTAACGGTTTCATGTAGCTCTGTTATATCCTGGATAATGTGAGAACTAAGGTGTTCTCAAGATATCCTTAACGGTGCTAAGCGGTACTGAAGACCGCTACTCTTTTGCATGAAGCGTCATGCGTCTTTCAAATTGTTGGATAAATTTTTGGACATCATTCAGCGCTTTAAAGTGTTTCAGCAACTGCACTTTGCCAGACGTGTTTTACCTTCATGTTTGCAGAGAATTGAGCCGCAGAGACTGATGTTTGACCTGCCCTATCCTGGGTCTTTATACTCAGTCTGAATGACCTCACACGGTGAATTTATTAAAGGAAAATTGGTGCACGCACCGCCTGGGAATATGGATATTGCAAGGTAATTGACCGGAGAGGAAAGGTAGGTACAAGTAGGAGCTGTCTGTCAATGACTAGTTGGGCTGGTACGTAATGGATGAATGACTCTTGCCACAGGAACATTGCAGCTATGTCGTCTAAAAATTTGGTCCCTTTTCGAGAGAGCTTATTATCAATTCAGTCATTGAAGAGGTAAAAGAAGTGGGTTTTTGTGACTTGATTTAGAAGGACGGTCTTGTTAACCTCTGTTTTACAAAGGCCAAGCTCACTCACTCGAACGCTGCGAGTTCTAAGGTGTCACCCAAAAACTCTTCAAAACTCTGACTCTCGTAATGAGCACGGGTGTGGAATGCCCGACTGTCCGCCCGGACATTGCGCGGCTTGCAGAGATTGGTGGCCATTGCATCCACCACTTCAGAGAGGACAGAGTCGCCTACCACAAAGAGATAGACAGACGACCACCTGATAACGGTATCATGCAAGTTGATTAGTGTAATCGCCGCGGTGTTGGCGCAGTGGAGGTCATGGGACGGACAGGGGTGACTCAGAGCTGCCTCGGGACAAACGGCGGGGCGCGACCGGCCGTGGAGCTGCGTTTCGGTGACGTGTGTGACCTGGGCTGACCCGGACGAACCCATGGTGGCTACTTGACAGCAACATTTCCCGGGTCAAGCACACGGTGAGAGATCATCAGCAGTTTTGATGTTGTTATCAGATTTTCTTAAATTGTTATTAGTTAGATTTGATTGTATGTACAGCATACACTAATGAAGGATGTCAGAATTGACGATAGCTGTCGCCATAATAATGAGGTCGAAGAACCAAAATCATTTTCTTTGTAATGTCTTGAGTCGTCTACGCCTGAAAAGGGCAATAAAGGAAGGTTGCGTTGTATCAATATCGATAAATTTTGTTTCGACCAATTGTGTTTTATGTTCTGCTTTTCATTTGATGATATATTTTAATGGGACTATATATACAATATATACGTTACAAGGAGTTTGAGAAATCCGTGAGTTTGCAAACTCCCTGACCAGTCAGTGAGTTTGCAAACTCACTAGGGAGTTTACAAAGTCAATAGGGAGCTTGCAAACTCACTGACCGGTCAGGGAGTTTGGGAACTTTCAGAGCGATTGGGACAAATATAATCAAGTGTGTGGGTGGCATACGTGCCGTCCGTGATGTTAAAACAAAGACGGCTAGTGGTACGGCCTATATAACCGTCAGGGGCGGATCCAGCCATATTCAAAGGGAGGGGCCAAAACCGGCCACTTTCCGAGCCCATTCAAAACTCCATACTGAGGTTTAGGATGCACCGATTACCCCAACCCACCCCGAAAAAAACACGGTGCAGGGTAAGTTTAACACGCGCCCTGCTGGGGTGCGAGTTATTTCTGGCATTTCTGGTATTTCTGGCAAATTTGATCATGCATCTTTTCTGCACATGTGTAAATTTCAGACCGAAGTCACTCAAGGTCAGGTCGCCAGATCACGTGAAGTGACCTCACCTCATAAAAAGTTTCGATGTCTGCCATAGCTACACCGAGTGAAAGATCGCTTTGAAACTTCCAGCGATTGATAAGAGCAACCGTAAGAGCAACTGTACCAAATGCTTATCTCGAAATTCTGACATCGGTGACCTAAGGTCAGGTCAATTTTGTGACCTCTCCATTATAAGTCAATGGAAGAAGCATGAAAGGCGCCTCTTCTGAACGAATGCCACGCAAAACAATTCTAAATTCAAACACCGAATTACAAGTAAACATGCCACGATGAACCGGAAAATGGCTCCGTGACCCCTTTTTCCCTGAGGTCATATCACGTCACGACTGGTATCTAACAGTTCTTCGAGAATAACTTTCCATAGAGGCATGCTAGAGCGATGAAAATGCCTTAGGTGTATTCAGCTCGACGATACGGATCGACTGATAGGCAGCACGACCTTTTCCGGTCAGGTCATGACCTTAACCTGAGGTCAAATTTTCAAGTTGGCTTTTCTAGGTCAAATTATAGTTCATTCGATGTGTCATAACGTGAGGAACACGATGCCGGTAAAAGTGGTGGACGGTGAAAACAGGGCGCCTGGGGCGAGTTGATCTAGGCTTTTGAAATTCACTTGCATAGAGCACGTGACAATTGGCGAGTGAAAGGCATAGGGAGGGGGAAAACTTCTTGATGGTCACTAGCTCCACCAGGGATGAAACGGCGATGGATGGGGTCGTAGCCGCCCCCCCCCCCCCCCTCGGCCGGCGCGTATGTAGAAAACCAATAGGTCCGGCGAGGGTTAAGGGACTATCCCACCTTTGCATTAGTTCTGAGTTGAGATAGCCAAGTTGGCGGCCAGGTTCAGAAACCACTATATATCCTGGTCGCAATATCCTCAGCTTCGTGGTGTTAAACAAATTCGTTCCCTTTATTTGAAAAGTGGGCCTTAGCTAAGGCCCTATCTCTTAACCATTAACGGCGCTTTGGTGACGTCATCAGCCGTTTGAACGCCAGAACCTGTTTTACGAATAAGTTGGAAGAACTACAAAATGCCTAATCAGAGACACTTTTGTTATTGTATGAGCCGCGTCATATTTGAAAGCGAATATATTTGCTGCCAAATTTCCCCCCTCATTGGCATGAAGTAAATCCTTCATTACGTCACAGATCCGATCTAAATGACGTCACGATGAAATATAAAAATCGCAATATCTCAAAAAGTATAGTATGAAAACGCGTAATAACTTGCAGAATTCGTCACAATACCCTGAGTAACATTTCCGAATCCTAAACGGGACTTTTTTGAAGGTGGGATAGTCTCTTTAAAAGAGCCTTCGCATGTTTTGTTGGCATGCAGTGTTCTCAAGCTCTGCTATGTTCATGAACTGTGATAAAAGTGAATGCTAAAGTCGCAGAAATTAGACTTTTGATGGTCTATGGTGATTCTACCACTGAGCTTGCCTAAAACATGAACGAATGTCTCCGATCACATTTGACGCTCTTTCAAACGGCATTTCGCTCCTGGCCACGTAGTCCAGTATCCGAATTAGAAGGGACGTGAAACGCCCACCCGAAGCGCCCACCTCTCGACTCAACGTGCTACGATAGGGCCACCACCGTGGCGCGGGTTAAGTTTGAGGAGCCTTGAGCCCCAGCAGCTCTTTCTTGATGCTCTTCTTTATCACTGATACTACTCTAGACATGTCTTGTGATGCTAATGCGGTGTCATCTTACGATAACGGCCCTTAAATAGCATTTACTCTGTTTGAGCAAACTTGTCGGGCTCCGCGAAGAAACAAATTTGAACAGAAGTCTCGTTAGTCGGGGTAAGCTGAAAGTTATCCCGGTCACGGCCGGGGTGGCCGGGGCGGGTTTTCCACCCATGCCTCTGACACTCAAGCTAAAATGTAATTTTGGGACGCTGTTCCAACGGTCATGACGATGTCCCATAACGGCTTCAAAGGCACGACACTCTTCCCATCCCGGGGCCCAGGAACGCATGACACTTCGGAGGGCCATGTCTGGTGAACTCGTTGAGAAAAACACACTTCTGAGACTGAATTAGTGTTCATCGTCTCGCGCATGGTCTCGGTTCGGTAAATGTTTTGGGCAATTTGGAGCAACCCTGGAAATACCATCAGAAGCCCGGACAAGTATCTCTAAGCGTTGGCTTCAATGAAACAAATGAGAAGAGCATATGTCAGATATATTTTTGGGGCAACGCGCATTTAAACTTATTTGTTGGTCTTGGATCAAATAGATGAGCACTGCAGTAATCGCCACGCACTTTGAGAATGTGGATCGCTCATGATTGTTCAATACAATACAAATACAATACAGATGCATCACTGGAAATATCTATGTAAGCCTCGGAAGGTGGCATTTTACTATGTCCAAACTCCAAAGTGGTTTGTGAGGAGTCATTTTGGATAAAATAGGACACGTACGTATGTAACTTTCATTGATCCTTTGGATGACTGAACTCAGTGAATAGATTAAGAATTACCAGACTTTTGAGACAGGATTCGAGTTCACTGTTCAGTGTGATTAACTTGGCCTGCGAGGGCAGTCAGCGTATCCCAGTCTGTTGCTAAGCTGACGGCTTACTGCTGTCCATCCACTTCAGGAAGCAGCTAGGTAGGTATTCAAATAATTCACGTGAGTTGTGAGGACGACGCACTGAGTAGTTTGTCTAGCATGCATGTTTGCCGATCGCGTCCCAGAGGCAATTTTACAGGGACGAAATCAGTTGCAGAAAGGGGGGCCAAATCCCATTTTGGCCCCCCACTAAACCTGATTTTGGCCGGGTTGGCCCCCCTTGGATCCGCCAATGATAACCGTCGCACGCTGACAAAAAGCTTACAGATCCTTGTTTTACCGGAAAAAAATGCTACTCGCGGCTATGTAAAAGGGAGGTTCGAAGCAACGTGCTCCTCCGTTCCGTCGTTTCCATCCTCAGGATACTGAAATCCTTCTCCTGCACGCCGGAACCCCCACTCCGGACTGGACAGGCACCTTTATCTCATGCGGGCTGCTCCCTTGGAGCGGCACTGCTGCTCCCGAGCCGGGTGCAGAGAGTGCTTGGGGGGCTGGTCGGCCTGTCCATTCAGACGGGCTCAGCCCCGGCGACTCTCTAGGGTGTCTGCCCAGACCAATGTCTACCCCTAATTCCTATCATCCTTCCGGCTCTGAAATGGTCTTGTCAGACCGAAAGGGTTTAGTCAGACCCAACTAAACAAAAACAAACAAGCAACGTGTTCCAGTCGCAGCTGGCTGCCAGCAGCGCCGGCTCTTGATGACACGTATATGGCGATGTGGGAATGGGCGTGAATTGGTGCGTGTGCCTGTACTTTAGAATAAGTGACCAACTGAGCTGTTTCTACTTTCTACTTTGATATATTGAGCCTGACTCTGGAATAGCCACACTAATTGAGTGGAATGGATCTAGTTGGGACGTGAACTAAATAAATGTATGACTAAATAAAGCGGTGGTACATGCTTGGATAGATCACTGAACAGTTAAAAATCAAAAGAAGGTATTTATGGTGTGCATATGATCTATAAGCTTTTTGTCAGCGTGCGAGGCCCTACAACTAGCCGCCTTTGTTTTAACATCACGGACGGCACGTATGCCACCCACATGCTACACACTTGTTTTTATTTGGCCCAATCGCTTTGGAATTTATCAAACTCCCTGACTGGTCAGTGAGTTTGCGAACTCCCTAGTGAATTTGTTAACTCCCTAGTGAGTTTGCAAACTCACTGATAGGTCAGGGAGTTTGCAAACTCGCGAATTTCTCAATCTCCCTGCAACATACATACATACATACATACATACATACATACATACATACATACATACATACATACATACATACATACATACCCTGGAGGTATCTAAAATATACCTGGCGCGTGATAAAAGACGCCTGAGAAAATTTGGTGCCAGGATCAAATCTGGTTGCCATTCTCTGTAGACTGTACTTGACGAGGATGACTGATGAATGGAACACACTGAAATAAAACATTCCAGGGACACTGGATGGCGTGCGGTGATAAAAGGATGCGTCCCATTACTGAGTATTGACAGAATGTGCCCTTGCAGCCGTGACAGAAACTGACCAGTGTATGTCAGATAACTCATCGGCACATAAGCGACTCTAGCGTCGAAACCAATTGAGATGCAAGCTGAACACTGATGAGACATTTGAGGTTCCTGCTGTAGGGAATATACCAGGAAGGTGTCAAACACCAGCTGTTGAACGTGTGCGCGCCAGAGCTGATTTTGTAAAAAGTGGCACGATGTGCAAGTACAGTATCCAAACGTATAGGTACGATCAATATGTACATACGGTATACGGTAAATATCTAATGTGGTAACTGACGTGAATCTTCATACATTACAGAGATGGTCAGATACCTGACTTCATTTGCAAGAAAGCACGGCCTGCTTCGTGAAGAATGTGTCTCCAACTGTCCATTGGTGATTGATGGCAATGATCTCATGATACCACTGAAAGACTGGTGTTATGATGAAACAGACGAAGGAGGCATCTACCAAAACTATGCCGGGAACGTGGCTATGTTCTTCTGCGATTTGCAAAGGTATGTTTGGCACTAGGGTGTTTGAAATGTTTGAGAGCCAACCAACAATGAAGGATGATGCAATGCGATGTTGACGGTTGTTGATACTACCTTTTCCAATATTCCAGATCCGGAATTTCTCCTGTTGTGCTGCTCCATGATGAACTGCCCGCCAGACTGGGCATACCGCCGGTTGTCTTAGAATTTGAGTCAAATCAAATACAGGACTCATACAAGGACCACGGCCTTCCACACGCTGAAGATGAAACCAGTCGGCTGCTCTACAAAAACATATTTTTGCAGGTATATAAATGATCCGTGGAGTAGTTGAGTAACTGCAAGTTTGTGTTTAAGGTCTGTGATCTTGAGAACAAAATGTGTACCTACCAGATGCCTGTTGTAAAAAGACTTAAGACTATCTAATGTCTACATAGGGGAGACCCGGGAGGGATGGGCTTTCGGGAGGTATGGGCCATCGCAGTTTTGAAGAAGTTGTTTTGTTAGCCTTAAATTCAAGTTGTAAACAAGGTATTTGTAACTGCAATGCGATGTAATTTTATTCAAAAGCAAACAAACCAAGCTACATATACGTCAAGTTCAAGAGTAGAAAAAAATTCATCCTGAAACAAACAGGAGGTTGATGGTAAGGAAACGGCGATATAAACACGTATACTGAAAATATACAAATATTTAACCCGCGCCCCACTGGGGGGGGGGGGAGGGGGCTATTCATAGCCTCCCCTCCCGTTTTTCTGCAATAACTTCCAAACCACTTGACGTATCGACGTCAAACTTTCAGTACCTTCAGTTGCATAAATTTGACACCGTGTGTCAAAATTTGAACTTCGTAGCTACCATAGGTCGGCCGGAAATGACGCCAGAGTGACGTCATATTCGGCCGATTTCGACGCAAAACATTGAACCACGGCAATCGCTCCCAATAGCTCAGTTTTTAAGCTAGATCCAATTTCTTTGCATAAAAAGGACTCAGAATTGATTGCGCTATCAAACTGCTATCTCGGATTTTCAAAATTTTGAAAATTTCGAAAATTTGATATAATAATATTCAAAATTTTTATTTTTATATTTTTTTTCAGAAAGTTTTTGACTTTTAGAAAAAACCGGAATATATGTGACAGAACGCATGCTTATGACTAACTCTCGCAAGTTTTAGCTAAATATCTTCAACAATGGCCAAGTTATACGCATTATTGCAAAAAATTCAAAATTATTAATTTTTCAAATCCATTTTTCAGTACGTATTTGACATCGTACACCAATATAAATAGCACCATCGTGTTCCTGAGCTCAAACTGCATCCAATAGACACCTTTTTTGTTGAAAAAATTTAAACTTCAAAATTTGACCTTTTTGACCTGAAATTGACCTGACCTAAGCTAAATTCGACTCAAAATGACCTCAAATGACACAGACGACATCAAATTCGAAATCTATGGCCTAAATGGACCATAAAACATGTGTCACGTGACCGACGCATGATATAATATTTCCGTGACCTGTGATGACCTGACCCTGACCTGAAAATTAAAGTACAAGTTTGGTACCCTCAAGGTATCTAAAGCATCTGTTCACGAGTGTGGAAACAAAAAATGAGCCTGATCTGACTTGTAAGACGGCGGCCAGAGCCCAAAATGTGAACAAGCCAAAATGCTAATAATTCTTACTTTGACCTGACCTGTGACGTCATCGGTGACCTCGAGGTCAATGAAATTAGCTTTCGCTCGACAGTTTTTCCGGGGCTATCAGACGCCGTTTGAATTTTGACGATCAGCCCAGTAGTTTCTGAGTTAGGAGGGGGGCTATGGAGAGCCCCCCCCCCCCCCAGTAGGGCGCGTTATACGCAGACCCCAGTGGGGCGCGGGTTAAACAAACAAAAAACAATTAATTTGATACTCACTTCATTGCAGCCAAGGTTCTAAATTCAAATATTCAAATCGATATCTAAACGAAAAACACCGTGAACTAAATAAACCTTAACAAAACTCGCGGGAACAGATTCAGAGATCTTCGGGCAGAGATATTCGACTTCGAAATTCGGCCAGCGCGTCGAGATTTATCGCTGATCGTGACTTCGCGATACACTCCCCCCGCCGCTCATATTGTGTCGGTTTTCGGCTTCTAGTATGAGAACTAGCCGATGCACCGATCTTGTGATAGTTGTGTCTGCTTGGCCGGTATATTTGCCAGATCTTATGCCCCTTTGCACCTTGCGCTTCGCTTTTGTATCGCAGGACTACGTCTCTCACTTTGCCGTCTCGCCCAGCGTTTGCTGTCAACACTTCAGCCAATTTCCAATGTCCTCCAAGAGCGTTCTTGTCTTGAACCAATACAATGTCTCCGGGCTGTAAGTTTCTTCTTTCCACGTGCCATTTTTGTCTAATGAGGAGCGTTGAAAAATAGTTTTGCTGCCATTTTTTCCAGAATAACGTAACCACTCTCTGAATCGCTTGTAATCTGTGATTAGGACTTGCTTCTTCATCCCAAGGACCCTGTGGAACAGCAATGTTCGTGCGCCCCAAGATCAAATCGTTGGGACACAAATATGTCGCCATGGGATCGGCTCCAGGCTTGTGCCCGATTGGTCGTTGATTTAGAAGATTCGCGACTTCGAATAACGCAGTTTGGAGCTCCCCCGCCGTCAATACACTGTCTCCCACAGCGGAAGTCAGTGCTCTTTTTACCAGTCAAATTAGTGATTCACTGCATCCGTTTTGCCAGGGTGCGTCAGCAGATGCGTTGAAAGTCCACTTCAGGCCTGCCGATGAACCGCACTGAAAAATTTCTGACCAGTCCAATTTGCGTGCCATTTCTTTCAATTCGCTGCTCGCGGCTACCAGCTGTGAGCCTCTATCCGAATGAATCGTCGCGGGGTAACCTCGTATGGTAACGAAGCGGCGGAAAGTTACGAGAAAATCCTTGGTTCCGTACCCGTCCACCAAATCTAAATAAACAGCTCTGGTGGCCAAGCAATTGAAAATGATTCCGTATGCCTTGGATCTCGTCCGCTTCTTCACAGTGTCTCGAATAAGAAAAGGTCCGAAAAGGTCGAGCGCTGTGTGGTTAAATGGTGGGGAGTCGGGGACGGTTGTAGCCTTTCTGTTCCAAGCTGGCCCATCAGTTGCGACTGTATTTTCTTGTCGAGCTTTCGACATTTCACGCAACTATTCCTAATTTGCTTAATGATTCTGCGCGATCCTGGTACCCAAAATTTACTTTGAACTGCAGCCAAAGTTGCTTCAACGCCAGCATGAGTTTCATTGTGCACGTGAAGGATGTAAAGCTTCGTGAACCGATGATCACTGGGCAGGAGAATGAATGAATCCGTGTTCCAGTTTTCCTTGAGCCATTTTGACATTCTCTGTCCAACGACAATCATGCCTATATCATTTAGGCTTGGTCCCAATCGTTTAACCTTCGCCCCAGTGGGGGGGGGGGCATATGTTACCACCCTGTCGCGTTTTTTGCGTGTAAATAAAAAACCGCGGCGCGTAGCGCCGCGCCGCTTAAGGTAGCTTTTGGTACTTCCATTTTGGACAATGTGTGAAATTTTTGACCCCAGGTCATGTCAGGTCAGGTCACCAGGTCAAGTTAACTGACCAAGCCTAAAAAAAAGTTTGCAATCCTCTCCAGCCTGCAATGTTTGTCAGAAAGGTTTGAAACTTGGTGGATTGCATGATGGTATGGGCGCCTACAATTTGTTTATCTCGGATTTTTTATATCCGTGACCTAAGGTCAGGTCAGTGGCGTGACCTTTCCATTACAAGTCAATAGAGAAAAATGAAAATGCCTCTAGATCCGTGTGTACGCATAGGAACAGTCCAAATATTTCAGAATCACAATGATTTGGACCACCCGTGATGACCAAGGTGTCATTTTTGCTGATAGCCTCTAAAAAGGTCATCCGAGGTCATTTGAGGCTACAAACAGATTTTTGTCAATAACTCGCGATTGGAAAGAGATAGAACGCTGGGGATGGTCTCATTGTGTTTGTCTTGCCGAGACGCATCGACTGATATGCAACATGACCTTTTCCGGTCTGGTCATGACCTTGACCTGAGGTCAAATTTTCAAGTTGAACTTTCAAGGTCAAATTATAGTTCATTCGACGCGTCTTAGCGAGAGGAACACGATTCTGGCAATAGAAATGTCGTGGCTTTTGTAGTCGAAAGTTATTGTCGAAAAACACTTCGTAAAAACAGCTATTTTTGAAGTTTTTGCCCTCTGGAGGCTAAACCGTTGACCTGAGGTCAATTTTGATTATGAGCTTTTCAAAAGAAGAGTTCAAAAGCTATCGGTTGCTTTTCCATGCGTTTTTCTAGCTACCATAGTTCCTGAGAAAACGGCATGTTTTCTGAAAAATATGATGACCATTGGCAAATTTTGACCTTTGATGACCTCTGGTGACCCCAATATTGCTCTAAGATGAAAAATGACTGAAATACTTTCAAACGTACGCATTGAGAGCTATCGACTGCTTTTTACCGCGTCTTTCTAGCCCTCTTAGTTTTTGAGTTAGAGGTGGGTGGTAACATATGCCCCCCCCCCCCACTAGGGAGAAGTTGGCTGAGACCGCCACTGGGGCGCGGGTTAAATCGGGCTTTCCAGTCTGTTTCTAACAACTGTTTTTGAGCCTGTTTGATCCATAGTATTTTAGCATCCGACAGTTGTTGGGCCGTCAGTGGTCGTCCTATCGCCTTCAAAGTTTTTTCTTCTGCGCATTGACTAATGCGAGCAGTAACTCGCAGTAACTTGACGTAACTGTTGAAATTATCCAAATTTATCGACCCGCTGACATCGCCCGCGTCATCTCCTTGTTTTCCTTGCGCAATGTGTACTCGTATTCTATCTGGTAACTCATTCTCCTGTTGGTGAAACTCTTGGCTGATCGGCCACTTCTCTACCGGAAGATCGAAGAATTGCGGTCCTCGCTGCCAAATAGAATTGGCCCCGATTTGTGTCGGGCTGGCAATTCTGGTCACCATGTCGGCAGGATTATCGCCTGTGCCGATCCACCACCATTCATTGGGATCGGACTTATTTTGTATTTCTGCTATTCTTGTCGCAACAAATGATCCAAAACCGTATGATTCCTTTGATTTTACGTTCGCACTATCGCTGAGTCGACAATGTGAAATACTTTTTCGTACTTGTAATTCATTTCCTTCTGAATGGCTTCTCGTAGTCGGCATCCAAGAACTGTCCCACAAAGCTCCAATCGAGGAACAGTCAGCTGTCTTGTTGGAGCTATCCGATTTTTTGCTGCGATGAGTCGAGCCTCAAAG